TGGGCGGGCCTGTATAAATATAAATATATATATATATATATATATATATATATATATATATATATATATATATATTATATATATATATATATATATATACATATATATATATATATATATATATATATATATATATATATATATATATATATATATATATATATATTTATATATATATATATATATATATATATATATATATATATATATATATAAATATATATATATATATATACATATATATATATATATATATATATATATATAAATATATATATATATGTATATATAATATATATATATATATATATATATATATATATATATATATATATATATATATATATATATATATATATATATATATATATATATATATATATATATATATTTAAAATTATAATATATTTATATTCCAAAGACTGATTTGTATTAGGGTGTCCTATAAAACAACCTTTTTTACTACCATCCTCTAAATATGCTTTTTATATTAAAATATTACTATATCTTTTTTCAGGGCATTTAAAAATTAAATACAAACTTTCAAAATATCTTTAGATCCGTGGTCAAGTTTTTTAAATTTTAACGTAAGTAGTGTTTTTGTTGAAAGTAGTATATTTCAAGGAAATTAGTATTTTCCATGAAAATAATATTTTTGAGGTCATATTGTGGAAGGTCAGGAAAGCATGTCATGAAATGGGATGCTTTCTTGGCTATGCCTGGTTTTATAAAATATATACGAAAAAATGTTAATGTAATTTTTTTGAAAAATACATATTTTTATTTTTATTTATAGATCTAATTTTTTAGATAGTGAAATATAAAATAAGATTTAAGATAATGGTTATTTTTTCATAAGTTTTTCCAAAATATTGCTTCATTTTAGACTCAACATAATATTTTTTTATTCTTCTTGACCAACCTTTCGTTTAAGGTACTTGAGGAACCCCTATAAATATTTTTTATTTGAAAAGTTTTTCAATTTAATTACACACATCTCCGTGTGTGTAAATTTTGATTTTATAACCGTTTTGAAATTTTAGATTTACTTACAAAACCATTGGGAAACTGTCTTACTACTATGAGAAATTACTTGGATTGCTTAAACAACACTAAAAGTAACACAATATATTATCATCCTTGTCCTAATCTTTTTTTTGAATCAGGTATGACAAAGTTTTTTCATGTTTAAAAAAAAACTTTTTTCTTATGTTTTCGTTTTTTTATAGTTTTTAAAATAATATTCCTTCAAAAATTTCTTCTTAAACTACAAGTTGCATTAGCATGATTTATGTTTATGATTGATATAAGCTTAGCTTTCTTTGAATAAAGTAAGCTTAAACATAATTTAACATTTAACAAATTTTTCTTG